AATTTGTAATTTGTTTGTAAGTTAGTATTTCCCTGACATATATATTGTCCTAAGAATTTTTACAGTTGTAATTTTTTATAAGCCACTAATAAACATTATCGGTTATTATTATTATTATTATTATTATTATTATTATTATCATTATTTCGTAGCACATTGTTTCGCTCTGTGAATATTCCGCATTGATGTATTTTATTTTTTTAGGATTAATATTTTAATAAAATTATTATTATTATTATTATTATTATTATTATTAGGGCAAAAACGTCGTTTGAACTCTTGAGATTCGCCCTCATCTGTTTAAGAGGTTCTAGGACAATCAGGAGAGTCCCCTGTGATGTCAAGAATGCGGACTTTGACGTCGAAACTGCAGAGGGAGCCATCTATTAGTTCCTTTTTTTTTTGTTAAACGAAATTCTGGTTTTTAATACTGTTTTTTATTTTAGATTTTGGTCTTTTTTTCTTTAACATTTCTACAACATTTATTCTTTTCTCTGTTAAAAAGAGGGACATGTAGGCTAGGAATTGCCTAGAGTACACACATTACTATCATTTCACACTAATTCACCTTTACTTGTGTACATAGCCACTTAATGCTTGTAAATGCTCACAGAGTATAATTATGTGGGTAGGCTACTGAAATTTTTTGCAGAGATTATTTAAGGAACAACAGAATTTCTGAATTTTTATCAGACACAAGGAAGATTCAAGTTTGTATGAAAAAGTACTCAATAAAGTTTGTTTTTATTATTTAAGAAAAAGTTTAAAAAATCATTATTATTATTATTATTATTATTATTATTATTATTTTGTTTTATTGCCTTGTGTAACATAATACGGCTATAACGGCGATAACTGCATCGGGTTTTATAAACAGTACTGTAGTACTGTAGTACTAGGGCTGGCGCTTAGTGATTAAAAAACATAATTGCAGCCAGCATACACATTAGTATTACCAGTCTCACTGCAACAAAATGCAGTGATACAGTTTACAAATGTATATCACTATCTTTCAAAGTCTGGCCCAATTTCTCAAGTTTCAAGTGTCCGTTTACGGGAGTTTAAAAACAAAGGAAAAGTCTAGATCGTAAGCCCTCCAAATGTCCGCGGCCACTTACAAGAATGTCTGCTTACGAGAATGAGTAACTACTGAGTTTGTATGGGAGTTCAAACGGGGTTTTGTGAAGGCTGTCGTTAGAACAGCTGTCCGCTTGCGTGAGTATCCGTTAAAAGAGCTTCCACTGTGAATATATAGCGATAATATAACGTGTAAGCTGAATTTATTTAAAAACTCAACCAGTTGCAACTATGATCTGCTAATCATGTAGTAATTTCCATAGAAAATCTCCGGCCATTGTTAAATCTCCGAAACAATAAAAATAAACCATTTTGCAGTCAAAAACTAACTAAGAAGCTATCGACTGGGTTAGAATTCAACTGAAGTCTAGACCATCTATGTTTGTACAGAAAAATGTTCGCGAAAAGAGTTCTGATAATTCCGACAACAGTAACAAAAATTTGTCTACTGAACTAAATATTGTGACCTGATGCTCTTTAGAAACTAATCACCTAGCCAGATTGAAAATTTCCACCTTTTTAGGAAATTCCATTTTATGTCTCAGTTTAATGTAGCAATTACCTCCATCCCTAGACCAAAGACTATCGTTTGCTCCACCAGTCTTTGATGGAATACTTCAAAATCGCGTGGGAGTGCTTCATCAGTACTGTTGAACTACATCCATGTCATGAACTTCAGTAAGGTTTGAAAATGTCCCCACAGTTCATTGACAACTTTAGTCGTGAAATAGCGTCACTTGAAGCTCGACTGGCGATGCACGTTTTAATGAGAAGCAAAATAATGGATTGACAGCCAAGTTAATGTCTCTGGTCCGGGTCTCTGGCTTCTTTTAATTGTGTAATTTTAGCTACAAACTTGTTTGTCGTTTCTTTCTAACCTTAGCAAAGACCTCCCTGAAATTTATAGTCAAAGCTAATTCGAGTTTAAAGATTTATTCCTGTCTTGACTGGTTCGTGATCGTAATTGACATGTTTGCTCAATTTGGTGACCTTTAGTCTTGATCCATTTAACAAATTGACGTCAGTATTTTATGCGTCTGTCGACCTCTTATTGATGATAAATTGCGTCAAATATTGTCAAAGTGGCGGTGGAACCACGAGCCGCAAGCGAGTGGTTCCGCAGTAAACTGAACTTGAACTTGAAAGCTTGCATAAATTAAAATCTTATCCGTCTGTACTCTTATTGATGATAAAAATGAGCCAATCGGCGCGCGAGAAATTAAATAATTACTGTAAAAAAAAGTGTTAAGCCCAAAAATACGTGGGCTCGGAGACCGTCGTCTTTGTATCATTAGTGATTCATCACTCTATACAATAAACTCCGTGCCTACGTGTTTTCAAATGAAGCTTCCAAGAGTTAGTGACAATCTTTCATGATCGCTAAGAGGAATTACGTCTTCTGCTGGAAAAATCCAGCGTTCGAAGGTTTAACAAAAAAAAAAAATCGGGACGTTTTCATTGAAAAAACAGGTTTTAAAACACCTCTCCCAGTTGAATTGTAATAACTTGCCCTCTTATAGTTTTAAGCCTAGCAAAGCTTTTCACTAAACCTTCACGTACAGCGCGCGCTCGATATATTTTCATCCGTGGTCATCACAACTATAGTTTTTCTATCAATCGGGTCCTTGAAGGTAACGGTAGGATGATACTCCCAGAGGCTGTCCATCCACTTGCGTGCAGCTTCTATGCCATCGAACCATTTCCAAGTCTTGCGCTCTGGTATTGTTGTCATGACAACAAAGTACTGTCTCAGTCGGGTGGAGTAACATATCCCTGTTATGACTTTTCCTTCTCTATACTTCTCCATTATTTCACCTTTAGCCCGGTCCCATGTACTAGTGGTGAAGTTGAAGAACCGTTCCTGAGCTTGCCATTTGTATTCTTCCGTGCCTTTTGTCATAACGACATAAAATGTTGACCCCCTGGCAGCACATGCAGTGATGTGAAAACCTTCTCTAAATTTGTTCTGTGCATCAGTTGTGATCGTTACAAGAGCTATGCCATAATTTTCCATGGAAAACACTCCAAATCCTAAGTTCTCGTCGCATGCAAGAGAAAAAATATGTTTTGACTTTCCATTTTTTACTTTCCAGTTTTCTTTGACCAACTCAAGGAAAGAGTGATAGTTATGTCGCCGTGTCCAGGAAACGGCGGGCCTGGGACTGTACCTTTTTGAAGGTGCAAAAATACCACTGAAGTGTCCATCATGGAAACTTTGGTTGATTACAAAATTTTCAGAATTTTGAACGCTGGCAATAAAATGAATGTACTCAATTCCATTGCTCAGCGGAAAGTCGTCGATGTTCCCTCCACTGTACATAGGTTCAGTTCTTGGACGTGGTTTTTTTCCAGTCATGAACAAAGTCAAATCTCCACCTTCGCCTGAGAAGTGTTCAAAAAATTAATTAGATAAAGAATGCAGGCTTTTTTTAATTGTGGGTTTTGTAAGGAGAAATACGATTGTAGAGTTGACATTTCGTAAAGAGTCCGTGAAGTACTGTTAAAAGATCGATCGTCCTACGATTAAGGTGGTTTCGATTTTTAGGAGAAAACGAAAGCAATCTGCGGGTTCAAATGAATAAAATATGGCGGTTTGTGGAATGTACGATCCCCTCTAATAGAACCTCTGTAATAGACCCTCCTCAAGCTTATTCTGTAATGAGCTGAGTCCGACCATAAATTTCAAAAGGCAACACGAGTTATCATCAGCGACGTATGGTAATGTTCTTCTCAAGACAAACATTTTTAAGCAGGGAGTTCTTTTCGTTATCATAGTGTCAACAATATTTTTGTCCATCGGTATTTTATTTTATTTTGTATTATTTTGTTTTACTAGAAATGGGCTTTCGATCACGAAAAGGTATGCCGGGCCGCTTGTCAGTGTTTTGACTTCTTTCGGCCTCTTTTCTAATTGAAACTTGCTTCTCGTATATTTTGAACAGTTCTCTCATCTTTTGCCTCCAGTGGCAACTGATGTTCGTCATAACCAATCGGGTCTTGCTTTTCTCCGTTATCTCAGTTTTCGTTAACTTTTTTGTCAAAACTGTGACAGTTTTATGTCAAGGGTTTCGCTGTGATCATCTTCTAATTTTTCTTGCGTTCTTTCATTCGCACACTTCGCAAAAAATGTCTTGCAGTGCTCTTTTTTAGAGTTATCATTTCTCTTACTTCAGTTTCTGTTCCCTTGTTCCGGAACAGAAGAAGCAATACAAAAGACCAAACAATACCGTACTACAACTAAACAAAAAAACACTCCTAAACAAAGAAAATACAGAGATATTCCCTCAGTGTACCGGCACACAAGGACACAACGCTCATTTCCCTCACTGAGTTCTTCGACAACTGAATTCATTGTCAACTTTCTCGAAACGAGACGCCATTGTAACAATTTAGTAACAAATCAAGTTTTACTCAGTGTTGCCGCTCTTCGACATGGAACCAATCATTTTCTAGAAATACTCCTCCATTTAACCTAAACCCTTTTGTAAATGGCGTTTTCCCGGTGAATTTATTGCTGAGATGATAAATTGTAACCAGGCTTCGCTTTGTCAAAATTTTGCTCGGATTTCATAGTTTTAACAAATTGACAACAGGACTTCTGTGGTCCAATTTTGCATGTAATCATATCTAATAACAAAATTCTCGATTGTGATTGGTTCTTCGCGCGCTTATTTGTCGCGTAATCGGCGCGCGATCACATGGGTGTCCAATTAAAGGTATCCAATTTGAGCTTTTTGAAAATGGATACCTGTAATTGGATACCCACTTGATTCACACGGCAATTACGCGCTCTTTAATGCCTTCTTTCGTAATGTTTCGTACAGTTTTTAAAAGTTATGGAAAGCGCTACTGACTTTTTCGCTCAAAAGAAGTTCTCCAAAGACTTTTTTAATTTCGAAATTTGTTGTAAATACGATTAATTAGTAATTGGACCTCGTGTCGTACAATTCAGGGAGTAGTCGTGCTCGTAGTTTCAAATCGGCCTCCCGCTTCGCGCTCCTCCGATTTTGAAATTGCTTGAGCTATAACTCCCTGAATTGTACTTCACTCGGTCCAATTACTATTACTAATCATACGCGTAATTAAACAATTCGAAATCTCACTACACGGTCGTTCGATTCTCGTACTCTCCTATACCACTCAGTCCTCTTACAGTAACTAATAAAACTAAAAGCTTTGCAAACCTTTGGTATCAAACGCTGTAGAATACTCCGGACATGCTGCAAGGCAATGGAAACCTTCAATGTTCATTTCAAGGCAGAAATTTGCCCAGTGGCCACTGTAACAAGCATCGCTGAAGATCATCGGGTAGTAAGTTCCACCAGGAAGGATATCAAGAATATCTTGAATACTGATTGTCCCATCAGCAAAGCACCAGTTTCCAGTCCCAGTTTCTCCATGACCAGTGTAGTACAAGATGGGTTTGATTTCCTTACGTCTACATGTATCAAAAAGTCTCCTGATATGACCTAATGCTGCGGACTTGGTTAGATAAAGATCTTTTACAGTGTTGAACAACTTAGCTCCAACTGCAGCTTCCATGTTGGCTAAATCATGAGTAACACCGGCGAGAAATGTACCGCCTTTGACTTCAGGAGTGTCCCTGGTCCTTCTATCGGAAATATTAATGTCCCTTGGAGGATCTGAAGCACCTGAGAGAAGTAACCACTTGGGCTCAATAGAAGTTGGTTTCCACTCTGACCACCGGTCAATTCGACCAACATTGGGCCCTTGTGCAATTGCAGACCCAGCAAAAGGCATGGACGTAGCTTGGGATAGTGAGATTCTTGATCCTGAAAGTCGCTGGTGTCTTCACTTTTTTATTACCTACATGGATAATTTTGAAATTTTCTGAGTCCTTAGGTGACAAAAAGTAAAATCATCAAAACGTTTTCCTACTTTCTCAGTTTTCTCTATTGTTCTTCTCTTGCTAGAACAGCTCACCTCTTAAACTCATGAAATGCCGTGCGTGTATACTTATTGTGATAACAGCCACAACTCGCCTGCTCGGTTGCTCGAGCAGTTGTCGATCAGGCCCCAGTTGTTCAAAGGGTGTATACCGATATCCACCGATAAATCGCAATCCAGTGGATAGCGTAGTTTGTTTTGCCAACACTTATACACTGAATAGCGATTTATCTGGATGATAGCGTTACCTTTGAACAACTGGCCCCAGTTGTCACCTGCTTTTTTAAATTCTCCTTTCCTGAAATCTATGGTAAAGAATCTTTTCGGAAGTCTAGATCAAAGGAAACTGCTGAAAATGGGAATATTGAGAATGCCAAATCAAGTAGCAATGAACCGCATAAAGTTCTGACAAGATGTGGACTTCACATGGATTCTTAAAGCGTTAAGGAACCGTTAATTCTTATTGCGTGGTAAATACATAACAAAGGAACGAAGGGCCCCGGAAATCTTGAACCGAAGCAGATGGAGAGGAGTGGAGGCGCTCTGTACAGGCCTTATGTGACACCTAGTCACAAAAGAAATAGTTACAGGTACAAAAGCATATCGGTGATATGTTAAAGCAGAGACAATGTACTATGAGATCTCTGAAAAGGTAGAAAAAAAGTCTTCGCCCCAACTTAGAACTGATGCCGAGACCTTCTAATGCTCAAATGCACAATTAGCTATTATTATCTTCATCCCGCACAACCTGAAGTTGAAGAGAAACTAATAATAAAGAAAAATGCCCCCAACCGGCGGGTCGAACATAATAGCGCCTTGGGGAAGAAGTAATAACTTCTGCTCATTCTCAAACTATGGAAATAAAGACTAGGGTAGTTAAGAGACAGTAATGCTGCGGCACATTCTATTTTACGCAGTGATTCATCTATCTGCGCGTTCTAAGACTTATATTAACCTTTATTTCTTAAAGTAGTGTCCTTTCGTAGTGTGTAACTTAAAATCTGACCAGGGATCGAGACAAAAAAGCACGTGGTGATCTGAACTATGTTTGGACATAAAACGATATACATCAATCTGCCCTTTACCAGCGCGCGAAAATCGAAAGATGTGGAAATTGTAGGAGCAGAAATCTAACTTATAAATTCTGTACTGGTACGCATTAAATGTCTCTAGAATGTTGACAGGCTATGTCGAGGACGCGTTCATCACGATACGTGAAAATGCTAAAGCTTTAGCTTGAATTCATGTTTGGATGAAAAGAAATAGATTGTAGCATATATGTTTTGTTTTAATCATTCTACAAGCTTTGGTAAAGACGATTTCTCTCATTTAAGAATTCGACCAGGTTTAAAATTAAGAAGTCACAATTAATCGTCCAGATTTACAAAATGTTTAGTACATACTGTATTAAGAACAAAAGCAAGAGTTGCGAAAGTCAAGCACGATCTCCTTCACAGCGTTTAACAGGTAAATCAGAGTTAAACATTACCACTAATCCTTCTCACTTGAATCCACGCGAAAAAGGACGGCGGTTCGACGGTGTGACATCGTGTTGCTCGTGGCGCAATGCACTCTGGTAAAAATTGGCGCAGTGCATTCTGGTTAAATGCAATGCATTCTGGTAAAAAGTGATGAATTCGAGAATTCGTACTCCTTTCTACATATTCTTCTTAAATACTGATTATGTTGCTGCTCGCCCGCTACGCTCGCTCCGCAGCAATAAAAGGCTATCACCGGTTTTCAGGTGACGTAGTCATATTCCAAAATTACCTATTCTTCTGAGGTTTTAGTTTCATCGGATATAAGACCCCCCAAGAACTTTTACAACGTTTTAGCTCGACAGGGTTCTTCGTTTTGTAATAGAGCACG